TTTTTTTTTTTTTTTTAAAAAAGGGGGAAAAGGAGAAAAATTATTTTTTTGGGGGAAAAAAATTTTAAAAAAAAAAAAAAAAAAAAAAAAAAAAAGTAATTTAAAGAAAATGTGTTAATTTAGTGCAAATGAACGACCATTATGAATTATGAAAGATGTATAGCAGTAACTTTAAAAAATACAGCAATATTTTTATCTCTGTTAACAAAAATCGTTTTCTTCTAATTTTGTGTTATTTTTAGTTTTAACGATAACATTGCACCTTCAGTCAACTATCTGGAAATGGAGAGTTATGTACCTAGTTTGGATATTTATTGACCGAGTTGTGCACGAGTTGCAGTTTGTTCTAACATGTGTTGTGTTTGTGTTAAAGAGTGAAGGTCAACAAGGAGAGATTTGCTCAGAGCAGAGGTCAGATATCGAAGACAGTAAAGATTTCCAATAGATACTTTGTACAAAACTTGTGTCGTCTTGAACTAAATGAAACCAGCAGTTTTTCTTGCTTCTTGGCGGAGTCACATTCCTCCTCTGTCTCCTCCCAGCTATGTGTTGCTGCACGCATCCAGGAAGACCTTCAGCAATGTGAAGGTCAGCATCTCAGCCCAGTGGACGCCGTCCGCCCATAACGACAGCGTTCCTGCGTTCTGTCCGGTCGAGGTACAGGCAGCCGATACTCGGCAACAAATTAACTTTCTTCCACGAAAATGTGCTCTTTGCGGGGGGAAGATGTGTGTCTCAGGAAGTTTTTGCCATTCCTATGACCGTACAGACATGGGAGGACAATCACCTGTTTGCTGACGAAAAGCAGGCCACGCTGTTTTTGGGAGCTCTGGACTCGATCTTCCTCTTCTCGTACGCGGTGGTGAGTCGGATGAAAGCGAAGCAAAAAATGAGGCGCGTCCCTCCTAAGGAGGCGTTTCATTCAAACCGTCATGTGTTTGTTGATCAACATGCAGGGTCTGTATCTGAGCGGCATCATCGGGGACAGAGTCAACCTGCGCTACGTGCTCTGCTTCGGCCTGTGCGGATCCGCCATAGTGGTGAGTGTCGCCAACCTCATGGCCAACGCTTCAAACGTCTTCCCTCGTCTGACGCGTAACCCGTGCGTTTGCAGGAATTCCTCTTCGGCACCCTGACCGAATGGCTCCACGTCTACAACGTCTACCTGTACTGCAGCCTGTGGGTGCTGAACGGCCTGCTACAGTCGGCCGTCTGGCCCTGCGTGGTGGCCGTCATGGGCAACTGGTTCGGCAAAGCGGGGTGCGTGATGAGCCGCGGACACTTAAACATCCTGAAACGCGTAGTCTGAGACGGACAGTGATACCCATTCATAGACGCTCAAACATAGACTTCATTTAGATTCATTTTTCTCTGCAGAAGGAGGTATTAACACAAGTTAAAGATTTGTCTTTGAGTTACAGCTGCTTTACTTATAGAAGGACGAAGAACAAGGATTCAGTTTTTGATAAATCTGTGTTTTCCAGGCGCGGCTTCGTGTTTGGACTGTGGAGTGCCTGCGCCTCGGTGGGGAACATACTGGGTGCCTTCCTGGCCTCAAGTGTGCTCAAGTACGGATACGAGGTTGGTCTTTTACAGCGTCAGTATCGGCTTGTTTCTTTATCTTCTGACACTTTTGAAGTTTTAGTGACGGTTTAAAAAAAAAAAAAAGTAAATACAAAGTCGAAGTATTTTGAGAAATACTAAAGTTTCTTTGTACGGTGCTGAATAAAGGGAGAAAATGTCTAGATATAATTTGTTTCTAGTGACTAAAGTGCAGCAAACATGTCCCACATCTGTTTTTTAAATCTTAGAAATCCAGTATTTTAAAACAAGTCTGAGACCAAATCTCTTTACCCTATTATCGTCTGCCTCCTCTGGCACTGCCCGGCTTTAGATACTAACGTCAAGTATGTGGTATTCCTGTTTGTAGTACGCCTTCCTCGTAACTTCTGTGGTGCAGTTTGCTGGCGGGGTGGTGGTGTTCTTTGGCCTCCTGACCTCGCCGAAAGAAGTCGGTAAGAGCCGAAAGAAGCACGAACGATTGCGAAGAGACAAACTCCGACGTCTTCCACGACCAACTATGTCTGTATCCACTACACCTTCGATGAGACTTGCTTGCGTTTACGTGGCAGGTTTGCACTTGGAGTCAGAAACCGGACTGAGCCCGGTGGAGACGGACACGGACAGCCACAGACCGCTGATGAGTGACGAGGAGGAGGATAATGAGCAGCAGGTGGAGACGTACAGCCAACAATGCCGCACGGATCAGCCACCCGAGGAGCCTGAGGACGAGCCTCCTCACGCCATTGGCTTTTTCCAGGCGTTCTGCCTTCCTGGAGTCCTGCTGGTGAGTCTGATTTGATTGGTCCAAACAAACTCACCTAAAATAGGCTTTGAGTCAGGCATTCAAGGGTCCTGAAAACTCTGGAAGGAGTTCCTTGCTCCAGAGAACAGACTTCTGCTTTTGATTATGCCGTAAATCTCCTCTGCTCACGCCGCAGTACTCCTTGGCGTACGCGTGCCTGAAGCTGGTCAACTACTCCTTCTTCTTCTGGCTGCCGTTCTACCTGAGCAACAACTACGGGTGGAAGGAGGCTGAGGCCGACCGGCTGTCCGTGTGGTACGACGTTGGCGGAATCGTGGGTAATGACACCTTTTCGTGTCGGTCGCTTGGTTTGGTTTCGTGATTTCTACTTGAGTGCATGATGTCGTGCGTTTGTGGCAGGGGGAACCCTTCAAGGTCTGATCTCTGACTTCATGGGGAAGAGAGCGCCTGTGTTGGTTTTCAGCCTCGTAATGGCAATGGGCTCCCTGGTGGGATACAGCCGTGAGTTTATTTTTCACCCACAGTATCGACTACTGCTTCCATGTGAAAAACCGGTCGTAGTTTATAGTTCTCCCTCTGAACTCCTCAGGCTCTCCTAATGACAAGGTGATCAACGCAGTGATCCTGGCGATCACTGGTTTCTTCATCGGCGGCCCGTCCAACATGATCAGCTCGGCCATTTCTGCAGATCTGGGGAGACAGGACATTTTGAGGGGCAGCCAGGAGGCCCTGGCAACCGTCACTGGGATAGTGGATGGAACCGGGAGTATAGGAGCTGCTGTAGGACAGGTGAGCCGGAATGAGGACTGGGAGAAAAATCACCAAGGCCAGTCCTGGAGGATTAACCTAACAAATGCTTTTAAAATGCCAGTGTTGCACTTAGACGGGCATTTTATCAAGAGATTTGGAGAAAATTCACTCTTCCTTAAAAAATTTTTAAACTCGTGTATCTAAAATTACAGTCTTAAAAGGTATTAAATTGAGAATAAATGTTAATCACAGGTCTTAAATTTTGTTGTGGCAGACTATAAAATCTCAGTCTTTTTCTTTTTTCTGACAGAACTTTACTATTGAGCAAAAATTTGAGTCTTGCACGGTTGTGGCTATTGGTAGCTGGCTGCTAATGCAATCCTGCTAGCTACTTAGCTAGTAGTAAGTAAAGTAGTTACCTTGCTACTTGGCTAGCAAGGTTGCATTAACTTACATTAGCAAGAGTAAATTATTGGCTAATATACCCTTATCTATCTTGCTAGATGGTAAGGTAGCTATGGAGATATTAGCAGATAGTTACCAGACATGAACAAGCTAACTAGCTTTACCTTTGCTAAGGTTTATCATCAGTTGGTTGGACAAAGTTCATATTAGCTGTTGGCTCACTCCCGTTTCCAGCCAATCCAATTTTTTTTATTTTACGATTTTCGGTCATGCCTGTGGTTAATTTAGTTAATAATGGTCTTAAAAAGTCTACATTTGAGTATTTGAAACCTGCATTTCCACACCATGTGGAAGAAGATTCTCTGGTCACATAAACAAAATGTAACTTTTTGGCTGACATTTAAAACGCATCGACAAGGTAAAAGATGGACTTTTTTTTTAAAATAAAAATCTGAATAGTGCGGCTTGAATATTTACCCCTCATGGTCACACTTCTATTTCTAATCCTGCAGTACCTGGTGTCGCTAATTGAGAGCAAACTGGGCTGGATGAGTGTTTTCTACTTCTTTGTCGTCATGGTAACTTAATTTTTCCTGTTTCCACATAAATGACTATTCATCTCAACAGCTTTTCATGTTTTGTTTTTTTAACGTGCATAATTTTGTTTTTGTAATGACAGACAGGGGGCAGCGTTGTCTTCATCGTGCCGTTGCTTGTAAGAGAACTGCGGGACATGTGGAGAGAGAGGCAAGCTCTGCGCCACCAGCTCTGAGAGGAGAGCCCGACCGCCGGCTCCGGTTCTGCCCATTAGGTCGGTTCCAGGATCCAGAAGGTTCGCAGTCGGCCAGAACAGAAACACTAAAACGTACTGTAAGACTTCACTGAGCTCAATATGGGGCGGGGGGTTTAGCTGAAGTGCCTGAGGAGTATAGAGGGATTTGGCCTGAGCCACACTGGTGTACATATTTTAACAATGTAAATTAATGTAAATACTTTTCTTTTTCCTTATGCACTTCAGTTGCTGCGAGTCTTAAATCAGGAATGTAAACGTGAGACCTGAGGTTAAAAAAGAATGTGAATAGTGATTGTAGTTTTGTAATCTTGCACTTAGATTTAAACGGTCTGAAAATTTTTCAGTGAACCACTTTAATCTTCATCTTTGTTTGAAAAATGATCCTGTAAATATGGGGACCGGTTCCATCGTTCGCTCACGCCACCAACACGTTTTGTATTCACTTTCTTTGCTCAGAAATGTTTACACTTTTATTTTCCGTTTCTTAATTTGTGACTAACTCGCACTCTTCAAATGTGGCGCGGCTTGCTTTGTAGGTTTAAACTCACAGCGGCCTCCACATTCATCTGAGCCCTCATAAAAAAAACCCTAAAAGAAATTTATCTTTTTGTTCTGTAGCACAAACTTGCAGTGACTCAGTGAGGGTTGGGTATATTCCCCTCCATCTTAGCTAATCTTAAAATCTTTTATTGGCTTTTTACAAACCCAATAAAAGTATTGAAAGCAACAAGCTGTTTAACGAATCACCCAGATTAAAACGATCTAATTTTAGAGTCTTTTTTTTATGGAGTTAATTTGAGTGGGAAAAACTTGAAAAAGAAGTAAAGCGATACTTTTTTCAGAATCAGAAGCTAATTTTAGCATTTGGCTACATGGCCTCTCGAGCATCCAGCTAATAAAACTCTGTCAATGTTTGGTGCCTAAATGTTTTAGAAAAATAGGAAAAATGTATAAACCGATTTTTATATTTCAATAAAGATTTCCGTATAAATTTGGGTCCTCATCCTAATTTATCATAGTTCTGGTTGTTTTCAATGTTAATTATTGGAGGTATGGAAAGGTGAAGATGATCAGGGCTTTTGCTATTTTATGACAGATCTTACTTTATAAGACCAAGAGCCTCATCTCCTAATAAAAAAAATTGATAAATTAGAAACTTCTCAAATTTAAGTATTCATTTTTTTAATGGATGGTTAAATTGTATATATTATGTATTTTCAATCCAAAGGTAAGACCCATTAAGCCTTTTTAATTCTTGGTGAGAAAACAAATCTGTTTGTCCACCAAATAAAACTTGCTTTATTATGAAAACAAATGAGTTCTTTGTTTAGATTAACATTTTTGCCAGGATAAAAGTCTTGATCTCATAAAATGAGGCCATTTGAGTCTTTTCTAAATATAAAAACTGTAGAAAAGCAGTCGACTGCTTAAAAATACAGGACAAGCTTGAAATTGAATTTCCACAACAGAAAGAAACTAACAGTAAAATTATTATTTTTTTTTTTCTGATTAGGTTGAAAACTGTTTTCCACAAATGTCAGCATCACATGGGAAAAAGTTTCCTTAACTACTTATTTAAAATTAATTACTTTGAAAGTAATTATAAGTAATTCATTTTCCAGTGTTACTGCAGAGAAAATAATTGGCTGTAACATTTTCCGTATCATTTGATCAGGGCTGTAAAGAAATGTGAAGAGAGCTGCATCTTTTCCAGGCTGTGCCATAGACTTGACATTTATTTTAGGTTGACTGTAAAATTGAACCTTTACAGCCAATGCAACCAAAATATTCAGTTTTGCCAGTTGCCAACTTCTTTTCATGACTAGAAGTAGATATATTTTGTTAAATTTTTTTTTTTTTTTTTTAGTTGCATTCATTTTAATGATATGTAATATCAGGTCATTATATATTCAACCATAACTCTGTTTACAGGAGGAGCCAAACACATGTAATAGATTGTAAAATAATTAGGTGTGAAATTTCCCTTCTGTTAGTTTCTTTTGTGTATCTTTTAACTGTACTTCTACTTCTGTTTGAAATAAATGCAAAGTCGCCTTCAAGCTACAAGCGCAGTTTTGCGTCGGATCCACTAGGGGGCGCAAGTAAAGCTTCAAATTCCTCCTTTTCTTTGGATTCTCTCAAAGCCAGTCATGCGAGATCTACAGCAGTGTGATTTCTCTTTATATTTATTGATGAAACAAACCAAATGAAATGTTATAAAAAGCAGGAGAGCAACAATACAAATATTATCCAAAAAGATAGTGATACAAAGAGGCATAAACCAGCATTAAATTACAGTAGAATTATTACAAAATGGTGTACAAATATCTTACATTCATGCATGTACAAAATAAAATAAACACTTCTGCTAAAGCTGCAAATTAATAGTTTGCAACCTCTGGAAACGGATTCATTGCTTTATTTTTTATTTTCTAATAGACTTTAAACAAGGAGTAACATGGCTACAATAAGCTGAAAGTCTCAGTCTGAAGCTGAGTCTGCTGCCCTGTGTCTGTTTTCCGCAGATTCCGCGATCACAATAAAAGTAGTTCTTAGTGCAAAGATATATATTTTTTTTAAATAATCTGACTGGGTAGTTAGGAGAAAAAAGATAAGAAACTTATGTTCCTGCTGTTTGAAAACTCTTGGCACACATTGGCAGATTTATCTTTAAGCTACGAGACAAAAAGGATGGAAAAATCCTTTGATGGAGACTGAGGGGTCTGGGTGTGACATTTTCTCAGGACAGTCTGTTTTTTTTTTTTTGCCCCCTCCCCCTCTCAATGCGGCTCCACTTGAGCGATCTATTCTGGGAAAGCCGTCACACGAAAAGCGAAGCAAAACAAAAGCGGTCAAACCCACCCACCGCCTGCCCACCCCGCGTTCTGACACACTGACTCTTTTACCTGATGCTTCTTCACCACAACAGAACACGACTCGCTCTTTAGTCTTCGCTTTCATGGCCGCCAAACACAAACAAACTCAGCTTTTTACTTTGTCTCTTATCGTTTGATAACCTTATTGAGGTAGTAATAGAGGATAAATCCAGCATATGGCTATTTATTTTTTTAATTACTGCTGCAATATCCTGTTGAAGAAACAATCCAGTGGTGTGAAGTTTTTTTTTGTTTTTTTTCCCCCACTAATGTTCACTAGAACTGCTAATCCTGCTTTGTTTGAATGGCATCACAAGAGGCACAAGACCTGGAATAGATGAAAAAGTATAATAAAATATAATGCGGCATAATCAAAACAACTTGGTATCTGTGATCTAATGTGATGTCCTCAGAGGCATTAAACCTGTTTTTTTTTCCCAGGAGAATCTTGATTTTTAAAGATATTTTACAACAAAATGGCCAAAAAAATGGTGACAAATTATTGCAAATTCATTTGATTTGACTTTGCAGCCGGCAGTTTTAAGTCTAGGCTCTAGAAAAACTGAAGCAGATGTAATTTGGTATTTTAAAGCCCCTTAAGCAATTTAAAGTGAACTAGTTTGGGATCTGTTGCTCTTAGTTGCTAACGCATCCATTGCTTTGGTCGATCTTTTTACAACTTGTGTCACAAACCCTCGCATGCATGCTTGCAGAATCGAGGAACTGGATTGCAACAGAGCAGGCGAGCTGGACTCTTCATATAAAAACTCTTTCGAAGGAAAAAACAAAAAAGCAGAAGTAAAATGTTTAACTTCTGAAAACGGAAAACGCTGCGTTCCCTTAAAGAGTAAAAAAAACAAGTGGAAAATGCTACATATTACAAGCAAAAAGCTGAATCACAGCAAACAGGATTTCTCATCATGTTGCCAAAAAGCCTCTATGGTGCAAATATTACTAAGCAAAACTAGAAGTTTGCCTTTTGTCGATTATTCTGCCGTTAAACTGTGACGTTTAAATGACTTCTTGAGGAAAGAATGCAATACCTTGAAAAGGATTCATAGATTTTGAATTTGGAGTTTTACTGAGATCATTGGACAGTTTGACTATTTTAAGTACTTTCTGAATGCATCATTTTTCCACTCAGATCCCAGTCGCATACATTTACGCTTTTGGTTGCAAGTGAAAAATGTTGAATGCTTTTGCAAGGCACTGCAGTTCAGGGAGTTATGAGACTTTATTTTGCCTCGTTTTGCACAATGGGTAATCATTGTTTTTTCTTTATCTTGGACAACGATCTTAAAAATAAATAGAAAATGCTTAATACTCAAAATGGAAGTCTCTGTCGTACAGCATTTAAAATGCTCAGCCTGCACCCGCTGACCTCTGACCTGGAGCTAATGACAGTCGTGCTGCCACGTTTTGAACCCTGGCTGAGGTTTTGACCCCTGCTCCGACTCCAGCTTTAAGAGGCTCTGGGTGAAGCCAAAAGGCCAAGTGTGCTGAAGCAGTAACCGCTCGGATCAGAAACCTGGAATGACTTGGAGCAAAAAAAAACAGGGGTCATGGGCTGAGGTCTACCTCCCTTTTGCTGTTTTAGTATCCTGAATGAGTGCATTTAAGATTATTTCACAGTGTTAAAAGAAGCTGAATAAAACGGTATATAAAATATACAGTGTGTATGTATACATATACATCAAATATTTATACATTGAAAACTAGAGTCTGAGCTTGACTGAATAAAAAGAAAGGTAGCTTCCTTGTGCTGAAAATTAAATGCGTGTTGGAGTCTGAAGTTTTAAGGCCCAACATTGGATAAGCTTATAAACAGTCCGTTATAAATTGCTACATATGTACATATGATCTACATCATGTTGAGTGTAGAGGGCTGGAGACCACTTAGTGACGTTTGTGGAGATTGTTGAACTTTTCTACTGCCGAGAGGAAGCTTTGGTGGGCAGGAGTTTCCTCTTTTTCACCTTAAAGAAATCTGAAAGGGAAAAATATATACTTCAATGCTTTCTAAAAGTTGAGTGAATTTTACAAAAGTAAAAATACATATAATGTACATATGCAGCAGGCTGACCTGTGATTGCAGATTGTCTGCGTTTTCCTAGCCGCTGAAGTGGGTAGCTCCCTCTAGTGGTCACTTCCAGGTACTCTTCCCCGGACGAGCTCCCAGAGACGGGAGAGCCGTCTTCCTCCTCAATCGACGACGTTGAGGTGCTCCTCGTGATTTTTCTGGCCAACACTCCGGGCCTCACCAAGCAGCTCCGGTAAAATGCCGGCACATCCTGGCACCCGAGCTCCACCCACTCCACGTCGGTACCTTCTCCTGGCACGTCTCTCTGGAAGTCAAAGTTCCAGCGCTTGTTGGCAACCTCCACACTCATGCGGAGCAGTTGCTGGAAGTCCCGCTGGAGCTGCTGGTGGTCAACGGGGCCAAAGAGGTTTCTCCGCACCGGCCCTACTGTCAGCTTCAAGGCGTCGATGCCTTGGAGAGTCGAGTTCTCGGACTCAGACGTCATGGTTCCTCCGGACGATGCTGATGTAGAAGCCATCATCATATCCCTGTTGGGAGTACAAGCCGAATATAAGCACTGCATACATTCAGTTGCGTCTCGAAGAAAGGGTAAACTTAATTTTCCCCCACAAGTGAGCATTATATGCCCCATTTATGGATCAGAAACACATGTGGTTGAACCTGCTGAGCAATTACTGCACCAGCAGGTTCCTGGACTAACACCAAATAAATCTCCAACAATGTTCAGCGCCTGCCCAGCTGTGTCAGAAACGGCCAGAGTCTCCACCTGTTCTGGAGCCTGCCAGTCAAAGGTCACACAGGAGAGGTCTATGAAGGCTTTTGATGAGGAATGTTTCCTGCATTCCCTCCTCTGCCACAGTTAATTAGCGCAATGCAGCTGAATTCCTAGATGAAGCTCCAACTCTGCGTTTTCAGCTCTGTGTTAGCAAAGCTCACTTATATCTGCAGCCTATTAAATTACTCAAGAGTCGACAGAAAGGTGAGCCATCAACCAGGTCGAGTCACTCTGCGTTTCCATTACTAGTGTGTGCAAAATTTTGTCTATTATGCTGTCAAAAAAACACAATTTCACAATCGCATGTTGGTGTTTCTATTAAATAAGAAACTTAAAATCATGTTTGTTCACAATAATTTATTGAAAAATATGCTATGCCATCATCCTCCTACCACTTCCTGTCATATTTTGTCTTTTCCTCCAGTAGTAATGTCTGGTTGTTGATCACATGACTCGTGTGTTGCAAATAGTGTTTCCCTCGTAGTTTTGGGAAATAACTAATTTCAGTGCATCTGAAGAACCACCTCATGCTAGCACAAAAATGTGTTTTTGTTTTTTCAAATTTAGTGTTTCCATTAAGCAAATATGTTTCTGTAATTCCAATTTCGGCAACTATATGGTCAATGAAAACGCAGCCTGTCTCCAATAATTTCCAGATGGGCAAGTACAATTATTGAACTCCAACACATAATATCCACTGGCAGGAGGTTAATTGTAAACAATTTCATGAGAGAATGAAGTCTGCACAGTTTTTAGAAAATAACTCACAATTGGATTGTTTTTTTAAGATGGCTAAAATGGATGAAAGCATAAAAAGCAATCAAACTAGAACTGGATTGGTTTATGCAGGCTCTTGAAAAGTTGTTTTTGATTTGTAAAACTTTCTCTGACAAAAATGCATCTAATGTATCTAAATTCTACTAGTTAAAACTGAATCTTCTCTGGTGAGCCAAACGTTTTTTTTCACCCCAGTTAATAAATTATGCCATCTTGGATGAGCAGTTGTTTTTGTAAACCTTGGAAACTCCCAACTTCGCACAAGCTGCTCTTGTTTAGTTGTCAAGCTTAACTTGAACTGGTGAGCTGCAGAAATACCAAACAGGGACCACATTAGTGTGAAGGCAGAAATTTGGGGCCCCCGAGGGGTCCGTGGGAGGAGAATTAAGCGATGCTTCAGTGGTTTGACACATCCAGAACAAAATGTACAGAATTTGTAAAAACAGCAGTTGGAAACCCACACCTCAAAGTTAACACCGCACCCCCAAAAGAGCCTATATAGGCCAGTTTGAAGTCTTTTAGTTGAAGTAAAGCCGCTTTTTTCTAAGTTGTTTTTCTCGTTGGAGGCTTAATAGTGAAGCAGTGAAAGTTGTTTGCGGAGAGTGGAGTGGGCGCGGTGTGCGTGCGGCTCAGGTTTCCACTGCGGTCGGTGTCCCCGCTTCCAGAATAACGGTGAGAAAATTCTCGAGCCTCAGGAAAACCAACATAAGTAAATATGACAAGCAAATATATTCCAATATCCACCTTTTTTTTTTCTTTTTCTTTTCTTATTGCCAACGCTGAAGAAACAGTGAAAAGTAGCGGTGAACGTATTGCAATAACGGGAGGTCAAATCTCGGGCTGTGCTGAGTGACGCAGTTAGATTCACAGAGGATGTGGGTTAATGAGATGCGACACAGAAACGCTCCGCATCGTGTCAACATCCACTTTGCTGAACAACACACGCAAATTCATCTTGTATATAAAAAGAAAACAAAATAAATGGAAACAATGCGTGTCAACGCATTTTTAGTCGAAAAATGATTAGGAGAAACGAAACGTGCGACTATCAAAATTCACTCGTTTACCTGTTTATGCGCAATGAACTTGTACATTCACATGTTGACAAGAAAAATAAGAACTTCCTCTTACCATCAGCGTGAGTATCTTAATATGAAGTTTTCCCAAGACGAATGACGAAAAAATAATCACAGACTCCCGTGGAGTGAGCTGTGAGACAACACCTCGTGGATATAAACACTGTCACGTTGTCAAGTTCCAGGAGTCACTGCCCACGAAAGGGTACTTTTAGCCTACTTATCTGTGTGACTTGTTTGTTGTGGACTCAGGAGACAGGAGGGGACGTCCTATGAGAAGGAGACGGTCACGTGGTTTCCGTCAAAACAGTCTTCCTCAGTGCCGAGACCCGATCGAGGGGAAGCGCAACTCTAGATTCTCAGCGTCAGTAAACGCAGCGCAAAGTGTTTGCAAACTAAGCTGCGAGAAGACGGAGATAGGGCGTTACTCTAAGAGTCCGTGAAGCGAAAATGCTCTCCAGTTTTAGTCTGTTTGTTCTTTTAGCTGCAGCTCTCACTGCTTTCTCTCCTCCTCTTTCTCTCTCTCCCTCTCTCGCTCTGAGCGGCCGAAAGTAGGTCAAATATTTTGGCATGGGCCGCCATTTCCCTCCTTCCTCAAATGTGACACACATTCTCGTGTAGCCCTGGATTCACGTTTGATTTTGGCTCCTCGCCCGTACCTCAAGTCACGTTGAGCTGCAACGTGAGCAGGAACACTTTCTCCTCTCCTTCACATCCCAAAGAGGGGAAATGATTTTAGTTTTCCCGCGAAAAGAAAAAGGGGCAGTGAAAACTTTTTTTTTTTTCAACTGACCTACTGACCTGACCTCAATAAGTCTGAATAAAACCAGTGTAGTTCAGATTGAGGAATTCATACCTCGTCACCTTAGACCTTAGTCTCCCAGCTTTACACATTCACAGAATGAAACCTTTGGCCATTCCTCTTTGCCAAACAGATAAGTCTTAGACTAGACTGAGGGCAGTTTTCTTATCTTGAAACTGATCCTTGATTGGTTTTGGGTCTGCATTTTGACCCAGCAAGTTGTGGTTTGTGATATGGGCCTGATGGGCAGTCACCCAGGGCGGCATAAAGCACCACACAAATAGGATGAGAACTGAAGCAGATGCACAACACAAAGCATCTGATAAAAAAAACATACCACTTATGTCAGTTGTGTCGAACAAGTTTTCTATTGCTTTACAGTCATCGGAAAGTTATATATGTGCAGTACTTCAAAGCATTTTAAAATGCAAGGCATACTTTTTGGATTTTTATAAAAAATAATAAATTTTATATATATAACTATAAGTACAACAAAATGGGTATATCCATTTTGTTGTACTTCCTAATCATGCAGTACTTTATGTCTAACATAAAACTAAGTATAATACATTGAGGTTTGTGGTTATGACAAAACATAAATTAAAAGTGATGAATACTGTTGCACTGGCTGCATTGCAGAATTTATTTTTGCAGTTTCAACAGAACAAATGTTTAACTTCATGGCTTCGTTACCAGTTTATTTTCAAACTAGTTTTAAATAACAGTAATAACAATGTTCAGCATGCATACGCTTTAAAAGAATCACTCATGCAAATCCTACAATAGTGCAGAAATATCCTTTACCGTCACACAGTGGGGACATTTCTGTGCAACATCAGCAAAAACAGCAAATACTATAATATATATACATATATATTTAAACTCCAGTGACGATAAAAAAAATGTCATTAAAGTTGCACAGATACCAGGATGAATGTAAATAAAACCTCTATCTGGTAAAATCACCTCACCCATAGCATGAGCGTGAACTGAAACGGGTCGTATTTCTATTGTTTAAGGGAAGATATGCAGTAACAACCTGCATGGAGTCCTGTAATTAAAGAGTTGTTATACTGTATATTTGAAGCCGATCAGTCACGCGAACTTACATTAGCTGAAATTTGAAGTTGTAGCAAAACAAAAGAAGAACACCTTTGCAAAGCACCAGAATGTCTATGTCTTTAAATATAAACTAGACATGCTTTCACTGGATTTTAGTATCGAAGAAAGAGACGGGAAATACTTCCACAGACATCGTTTTCTTTTTTTCATGATACCAGACAAATAATTTGGTTAAAAAAAAAAAAAAAACAGGAGCACCTTAGATTTTTCTTCTTTTTTATTTTTTCCTGGCACACTATATGCTCGTTATGATGCGCTATTAAAGCCATCTGAGTCATCTGAGCGACCCGCTGACCAGACAAGGCCCCTCACTCTGCAGCTCTACTCCCACTTTTACCCAGAAAAACTGACAACTCTATTCAGGGTCTGGAGATCCAGCGAGCTCTGTGTTGTTCCGGAGAAACTTTATGCTCGTATAGCAAGTAGACACAATGCATGTTTTGTTTTTTGGGTCATAATCCCTCCTGAGAAGACGATTTATTATTCAGGGTTTTTCGGCCTCTCTCATGAAAAATAAATAGTGTGTGTCCCCTGCTTCCTAATGCTCCACAAATCTGTGTGGAGCAGCCTAATGAGGCTGTTTTGACCTGTATTTACAGTCAGCTTGTTGTTCCATATTAAATGCCTAATCCTCTTGTTCTCCACTGTGCTACGTAGGTTTCTGGTGGGCTTCCCCCCCTCCTCTCCACCCCTCTTTTCATCCCTAATCCTGAGCTGTGTGTTACATGTGGCTATGCAGTCATCAAGCCCATTGTTTTGCCACTTTTGAATACATTAGCATGCTCGTTAAAAACGACAGTCACACAGCGCAATGTGACTCGGCTCCAAACAGTAGGAACTGTCACGGTGGGTCTTGTGTTTCCCCACATTACTTCAAAGGATAAAAGAGTTAGAATGGCCCAGTCAAAGTCCTGTTGAGAACAAATGGCAAAATTTTACAACTAATCGAGCTACATTTCCTAGTCCCTTTCCACGTTTCTGCTTCATCGACATCATTTTGCCAAAAAGCCGTTTTGAGAAGAAGTGCGACTCAAAGTCCTCAACCGCCACCGCCAGATATCTGGAGCTGAATTCGCCTCAGGAAGACGCTTGACACGTACTGTGAGTCAGTTTCCTCTCGGCAGGAAGTGGAAGGAGAAGAAGAAGCAGAAGAAGAAGAAGAAAAAAAGGATCACAGCAGAGAGCAGGTTTTTGGTTCACAGGTGCGGCGTGGGGGTTTCCACGTTCCTCTTGCCCTTCAGCTGCGGAAGCGAAGCGCTGCAGAGAGTCTCGCCGCAAGACCAGAGCTTGTTTACGTCAGCTCCTTGTTTCCTAACGCGCCACGACGAAACGCAAACAATGCAAAGACGCAGAAATGCGACTCGAAATGTGACAATAGAGGAAAATAAGCAATTTCAGAAGCTTTCTAACATTTAAAGTAAAATATGCACAGTTTGTAATTGTTATTAAATGTCTGCAAGGATATAAAATGACGCCTCGCCTCCTACATTATGCATGAAATCAGTCGTCCTGCAGATAAAGATCTACCCAAGCAAATGAACTTTGGACCACCTGTATTTGTTTTACTTCAACCTCACTGAAGCTGTGTGTGTGCGTGTGCCTGTGTGTGTGTGCCTGTGTGTGTGTGTGT